TCATTTCGTTATACATTTTAAGTGACGTCATGTTGGCCAGGCCAAACAATGTGACCTTAGTTACCGCTTGGGTTTAGTCGTAGTCGTGGCGAGGTTCTGATGTATCACACCAAATGCAGCACTATGGTAATAAAAGCCCAAAAATGGATGATTTGCTGGGAATGAAAAAGATGTCTGTGACCCTCTAAAACACGAGTGCAAAGGGAAGAGGAGTGCAAGTTCCGGACCAGGGCTACTCACTACTTCGCAGGGCTTCAAGAAAGTCTAGATGACTGCTCCGTAAATTAATACCTAGGGACTTTCAAAGCCGAGGGAAAAGAAGAGTCGTACCTGGTTCGCTGTATCTCAGCGGTAAAGTTTAATGAGCCACACCTGATGTCCTCATACTGAGCCTTTCCCATATCAAAGGTACTTGGTCTTATAGCTGATATTAATCCAACTATGACAGCCGGAGCTCCTGGGGTTAGAGTAACAAAACAGAGTCTGCTATTTTCTCACATATTTTTCGCATATTTTGCGACGGTTACTTCGTTGATTTCAATTCCCTTAAGGGTAGATATACGAAAATTACATTTCTCTCTTTCTTCTATCGGTAGAATTTTACTAGTCTACTAATGCTACTAGTCTACAATTTGATTGGCTGAGCTACTCGTATACTATCAGACATTAGTATAAATCTACTAGCGTTCTATCACGAATGTTCCTTCTCTGATTGGCTACGCTACTTACTATCTAGTATTCTGTGATAGATAGTGAGTAACGTAGCAGTGTGCTCTTCTTAACAAAACGATGGCCTCTCCTTTGCGTTCTCGAAGTGTCTGTGAAGGAATTTAGATAAAGTTTTGAACGACTAGCAAAGTTTTAATAAAACAATTAGACTATTTTCTCGGGCCGTGCCCTCGTCAACTATCACGCAATAGAAAGCTGGAGCTCATAATCCAATTGCTAATTAAAACGCAGTGGCTTTAGGTCGTCCGTAAAATAGCGACGTTTTCTCGTTTTTGCAAAGTTACGGCAAAAATATTTAAATACCAATGCATAATGAAACTAAAGAGACGAATAAACTGAAGTGCATTAACAGTTTCGTAACTTATAAAAACTAATTAATCTAATTGTTAATCAGAAGATGAATTGAGAAACGATATCATCGAAAGATATTGGAATTCCAGCTCACCCCATCCTATTGCCAAGTATGCAACGTACTGCCTTTTTACTGAGAAGACTTTAACCAACTTGATGTACAGGTTTATTCCTTCCACAAGCATCCATGTGAACAGTGCAGTGTGAAAAAAGAACTGACAGACTGTCACAGCCGAACATATGGCCTGCAAAACCGAACACATAATTGCAAATAATGCAGTCATAGTCAGATGCTTTGGGTTCATTTATTAATTAATACAGTGTAGCTGCCGTGACGTATTTGTGGCTACTGGCTTTAGCCAGTCACCATTATGTCATCAGTTATGTCATCGGCCACTTTTATGTCATCCAGTCACCATTATGTCATTTCCAGTGAAAAAAATTTCGAGTTCAGCAGAAACATAGCGCTATGGTCGGCGCTACAAAGGTCTACGATATCTGACCGCTATGCTCTACGTGGTCAAAATGGAGGACATTGCAGACTCGTTTTCCCACGCGCTTCGACACGACGTGGCTGTCGACGTGACATCGTTTGCATATCTTGATGAATAGGCAATGTTCGTTCAGTTTTCTATTTTTCTTTCTCATAAAACCAGGCACAGCTTTGACCAAATGTACCGAAGTATTGTTCTCGACGAATCTTGCAAGGATTTGAGCGGTTTCCGAGAGGTTTGTATTGGAAATACGATTGTTACGTGCCTTTAAAGCATCTATCGACCAAATAAAATGCACATTTGCAAATTGATGCCTATTTCAATATTTCAGACCCGGAACTTGCTATAATGTTTGTTTTTTAATAACTACTTGTTTCGATTCCAAATGGGAAGTGAAATATTCACCTTAAGTCAGGATTAATCGACAGGATTTTTAAAACGCTCTGCTGGTAAAAAGCCATCTGAACCAGGTCGATAAGATCGTTTGCATAATTTCTTTATACGGAAATTCTGACAGATCAGAGATGTTTGCTTCATATATATCAAGAAAAATCATTTCACCATCGTTTAAACTTAAAATAAGATAAAATTTCTACGTCCCTAAAGGATGTCACTGGTCTTGAAAAGCTTTTATACGCTCCAGTCATTGACGTCGCCATCCTAAACGAAAATTGCATTTTGTCTTTGGCGACATGACGAGACTGGCGCACGAGAGAGCTTCCTGTGTCCATTGCAGTTCCTCTGACATGGCCGTCCTATCCTCGCATCTTATACATGGGGTCTCTAATGTTACGTACAATGATGCAGAGAACATGCGTGTCGAGCACTCAAATTTAAAACAACACTATAGCTGTACTTTGCAATAAAACTCAAACTCCGCAACTCTTTTTAGCACCACTGTAGCTATTCACTATCCTATAACGACATGTCTTAGAGGGCTTTTGTTTTTTGTCTCGTCAGCATTAGAGTACCAGTTTCTACTGTTTTTTTTTTTTGTTTTCTTTCAAACTCAATTTAAAAGTAGATCACAAGTGAAAGACGCTATTTGTTTAAAGCAGGATTTTCGAACATTTCTACATACCACACGATCCCGTCTTGAAGCAAACAAGCTTTTGTCCAAAACATAGACGAGATTTCCAAGACCCAGGGACAAGAGGACATTCTTGTGTATAAATAGCTTCTCTGACGTTTTAAGCCTGTGTAGTGGAGTCAAACCCATGTTAATGTTGCGACTATAGATTCCAACTTGGCATCTGTTTTCTTTCTCGCAACTTGTAAGTCGTGTTTCGCAATTTTCCACATCTGTGTTATATTTTTATCTCGTTCCATTTTTACTCCGTGGGTGGAGTTGGGGAATGCTCTCGTTTAACTCGTTTGCGGAAACGTGATTAAGAAGTTCCGAAAAGAATCCTCATTGATTTCACAGTTTGGCGTAAATGAGGCCACTTGCAGTGTGGTTCAGTTGTCTAAAAAAAGCTTATCAAAATGTTAGAAGTATTTGATGGTATCTTCAGCAAAAAAAACAAACAAACAAACAAACAAAAACACTCCAAATGGCAAATCCAACCAGAAGATATTTGGCTAGAGCTAGTGAGTTGGAGGGAGTCTTGAAAGTTAAGACTGGCAGTAGCGTCAGTTTTGCTACGGAATGATAAAGAGGCCGCAAATAGCAGTGCAGGCAAACTAAATAGTAACATTGAGCCCGCCTATTTGTGTCTGCTTGGTGATTCATAAGTGATATGTCACTCACTGCTCCACCTTGAAAATTGAGCTAGACACGTACTACATAAAATCGGCACGATATACAATTACATTATATGTGCTACATATAATGTTTGTTTTACCTCA